ATTTAAAATTCATAAATGAAAATTTAAAAAGAATATACCTACCTAGAATCTGAATGGTTGTTTTTTGAACGTTTGTATGGTGGTGAACAGGATTGCGAGCGAGATTTTGAACGTTGTCTTGTTTCATTTCTTCCTCTATGGTCTTTCTCTTTGATTTCCTTACTTTCTTCTTTGTCTTTACTTTCCTTATCATCATCATCTCCCCAGCCACTGAGGTCATACTTGGAAAGGTCTCCATCATCCTGTTAAAAAGACAGTGTCATGAATGATCAAAGGAATCTTTAAATAGGCCTGTTATCAACAGAACATTATCTGCCATTTGGCGAAAAAAGTTTAGTCACAACTTTCCGATTAACATTCTGCACTTACATCATCATCATCTTCCTCTTCCTCTTCTTCTCCATTATCATCCACATCATTTGTTTTGTCTGAAGTCTTTTTCTCTTCAGCAGAATCCTTCTTCTTTTTCTTTCTACGTCCAAACTGCAGAATAACAAAATAAAATGTAATTTAAAAATTCAAAATAACATGCTTTCCCATAAGATGCCACACAACTCCAAACCAAACAAGAGGATAATAATAATGATGATAGGAAAATACATACAATTTACTGTTTAGTAATGAGTTCCAATACTTACATTATAAGAACAATAAGCCTGTATGTCCAAAGCCATGGTTATAAGAAACTAATTCTAATGAACATACACACAGAATGCTGCATAAAAAGTAGCAATTAAGCGCATCCTCTTTCTTAGGACAAAATATTCCCCTCAGAAATTTATTACCAAATACCTGCAATATTTGTTCTTCCCTTAGTATGACAGACCATGTTTGATGCTAAGCAGAGTGCTTAAACAAGAAAAAAAAGGGGGGAGAAATATTCTGAGATGCATATAATCTAAGGTATATTCTGTCTGTACATGCAGATGATACCTCATCATATTCATCATCAGAATCCTGCCGCTCAATGTACTCCACAACACCACGATCATTGTATCCGCCACCATAACCTGTTCTTTCTTCCACTTCACCATATTTAGGGGCATTGCACATATTGCAGGACTGCCGACGTGCCCAGTTTACATTCCCACACCTGCAACAGTCACTACATATTATTAAACAATGCTTGCACATCTCAAATTATGTAAAGTTCATTATGAATGATGAAGTGACAGAAAGCAATCACATTCTACTACAGGAAGCAGTTTTTGCTTTCTAGTGCACCTCTTAATTACAATTATGACCAATTACGTTCAATAAATTTCAACTGCTCATCTGGTTTTACTACTTGAACTTGTTGTCCTGCACTACTGAATTTATGTTCTACAGTCATTCTCAGCAAAATACCAATATTTAACAATGAACTGATCTTCTATTCCACTGCTGGGAAACAAAGCATTGAAGGTATGTACCATGTGGTGTGTGCAGTCAAGGTTCTTAAATATGAATCACTCAATTGTGGCACATGTTCATCTAACTATAGCAGAGAGAAGTCCACATGTGTAACATCAACAAAAATCTCACAGCTCACTTGTTACACTGCCAGTCATCTGCACTGAACAGTCCACGGCTCTTTTCTGCTGCTGCTTTCCCAATTTCTTGCCCCAGTTTCTTCTTTTTGGGGGAATCACCCTTCTCTATAACAAAGAATAAAAATATACATAGTTACTCTCTATATGAAGCTGAAGCTCATCTAAATCTTATTTAAAAGTCAGTACCTACTGAAAACACAATGACTCTACATTACAGAGATTAACTGGTTAACGCTGTTTAAGGAAATAAATGCAATTTATTCTGGGGGAAAAAAAACATATAAAACACATAAATACATCATGGATAAAATGTGGTTTTACTGTTTAGTATAGTAGGTGGTACATACAGATATGACTGGGCTTTAAAGAGTTAATTAAAGACTGGTCACTATATTTTAATGCTGTTCCAGAATAAAAAACCTGACAGCAGCCAATTTCCTAGTTCACATATCAACTGCATTGCTCAAATACAAAGTATGATATGTTAGGAGGATGCTCCCATACAAAAGACAATCAATGAATAAGAAAACTGCATTCAGCTCACCTTTGTCACACCTATTACAGGTATCCCTGCGGGCAAAGTTAACATTTCCACACCTGAAACATGACAGTAAATGTAAGTGCACAACAGCACCTGTAAATTTAACTTACACAAACAACTCTCAAGAGTTTACCCTTGGATGTTGCCATTTTCATCACATTCTTCCTGATATGTTTAGCAAAGAAACAGCTTAAAATTCAAGTCCCCAAACTGTTGTATTAACTTTTATACTTAGTTTTATACTTCTGCCTGTCTATTCACAACTTATTTTAACCCAATTACACTGTTTGATGCCTGCAGGATGTCCACTCATCGAGTGACATTAAGTCACTTCCACAGGTGTGATGAAACTTCAATGGATGAAGGTCAAAACAGTTAACACACACAGGATTAGCATATTAAATCCCAAGTTTTATTATAGATTTAAGGCTTTTAACATCTGACTTCATCTTACATGTGAATTTTCAGAAAGTGAGGCCATATTATTAGCATTCTTTGCACAATGTGCATGAAATGAATGCATATATGGCTGACCATGCCTCTTTGCCCACATTACTACAATATCAGCTTGCTTAGTCCAGACAGCAGAGTGGCTACTTGCTGCCTGGCTGAGGAGGTTCCAATACTGCTGCAGAGGGAGATATGTTTTGCTTGGCCATAATGTTCAATGTTTATGTTCTGAAACCCATCCAGCCTCTAAACCAACTACCAGTAGTAAAATGTCCAGAACATAATAATGACCTCTAATGCCAACATCCTTAAAATTCATGGAACTTAACCTAAAAAAAATTTGATATGGGCAATTATATAAATAACTGTGTAATTTCGGACAAAAATATGATCTAATGCCAAAATACTGAAGGTGCTTGGAAAATTCGTAAGCAATTAATTTGATAATTTATTAAATTACGTTATAAATAATAGTGGTTACCAAAGAACCAATAACTGGAACAAAATTGTGTCTTCTGTTCTTATTTATATAACTTAATAAATGTGTTAAGCAAAACCGCAATGAGTTGCATACTGTGGATCGCTACAAATCCAATCCCCTTCGCTTATTCGAAAGCGGCCACTGCCTGATGCTGGCTCCATCGCGGCCGTTACTGCTAATTGTCCCTATTTTTTAAAAACACTTCTGTGAACTTCTGAAGGACTCTAATGTAAAGACACATTAAAGATATAAACAACTATAAAGTAAGCATTTTCTGGATTTTTCACACTTTTCACTGCTAGCAAACCCACGCTATTAAAAAAACAATTTTCTTCCCTATCTGATTACGGGAGAACAAAACAACCGTCTACAACTAGAACCACTATCGCTAACCTAGACGAACCACAGATTGTCAACGAAAACAAAAACCTACTGTGATTTCAAAAATCCAAAGAGTGTATTATCTTGTATAAAAAATGCTTTCTTAGTTCCATTTAAGCGACCAACTAACGTAACGAAGACAAAATTACGTAATTGGAAAATGTACTCACATTAATAATGTATACTGTTAAAAGTGGAAAATGATAATTAAATAGTATCACGGTGACTCTAACAAAGATTATGCCACATCACAATGACCACAAAGAAGCAACATCTCCATTGCGTTAAGTTGGCTCAACTGCTATTAATGAAAACCTCACCCTTCAATCGCTACTAAATTTATTTGTATGTTAAGGTGTTTGCATTACCGAATGTCTATATTATACTCACCCTTCAATCACTACTAAATTTATTTATATGTTAAGATGTTTGCATTACCGAATGTCTATATTATTTGCAACCCACTACCCTTGCCTTGGAAATGTTTTTCCTCGGGTTAAATAAAGGTCGGCGAGTAGGAATGCGAATCCACTCGCGCTACCAAATGCCCATCTATTTGCATCTGTCTTGGTTATGTTAGCTTTTTGAAGGGAAACATTGTGTAAACGCGGTACCTGAAGCGTAAGACACAAGCTACTGATCCTTGTGATCAACAAGTATGATAATTCTTTTCATCAAAGCTCATTCAAAATATGTTTCCCCATTGATGGCAGACATTTTTCTTTTTTACCCAACTGTAGCCAATACCAAAATGTCTGGACCGCCTTCATTATTTTTAAAATTACTTAATTCTCACCACAGGTTACAGATGTAAAATGTAATTGAATAAAACCTATACTGCCTTGGTAACTGAGCAATGAGATAAACTGATTATAAAACGAATGAAACAACAGAATTAGATTAGAAAAGCATAACATAGATATGTTAAAAATATGTTAACAATGGCAAAGGCTAGGCTGAAATACACAATTGCTGGAGCTGCCTCATACAATTATGGTCACTTATGTGACATATAAGTGTCAATTTCAGATACAAGTAAAAACACACACTTTACATCAATATACAAGGAATGGGAATATTTGTTACAAAAGCTCACTAGATCTCTTTCATTCACATTAATAAACTTGACTACATTTATAAATTTAATGGTACACTTAGAACAAAGTATCACACGACAAAACTTTATACATAACACTCAAAGTATGCTGGTATATGTCAAGTATAACTAGATCAGTTCTTTGAACATATCATATAAATATATTTTAATAATTTCTCTTTTGATTATTTTTGTAGAAATTTAGAGAACACTTACAGCGATATTACTATCAAGTGCTAACGTTTTGAGTATACAAGTTATTTGGATGGGTATTAAATCCTCTTAATTCATTCACTCTTGATTCACTGCACGTTTATAACCAAATGCTGTCAACATGAACAACCTCACTTATCATAATTTGCTTCCATGTGTTAATTTTTAAATAAAATTTAGAGTTGTTTTAAACAGTGAAACTGAATTTGTTTCTTTCAAAATCACTGATTTCCGAATTGAAAACTGCCATCACAACAAGTACAAATATGTGTATTCATAAATGTCTTTATATAGAAAGAAATCAGTGTTCAGACTTTTGTACATAAATACTATATATTAATTCTGTATGAGCAAGACCAACACTGCTTAAGCTTGAATCAAATTTTGTAATTTTAAACAATTCTTAACACATTCTGTTTAGAAATCTTATACTAATAAGTTTACCTTATTTTGGCTTTCATTATTCCATAATTTTTGGTAATAAAAATAATATTTCAATTTTTGGTTTATGGAGGGAAGAAAAGGAGCAAGTGAAACACGTGACTGCATAGTACCAGCAAAACAATAAATGATGACATGTATAAAGTAATTTATGCAATCCTGAATAATGTTACTGTAGACCAACTTGTTTGATTGCAGTTCGACCTGCAAGTGGTGATACTTAAAACCACCAGACAACAAATTAACTAGTTTCCTTAACAGTTCTACACCTCAAATATGTTGTGCACAGCCCATTCTGTAAAGTATATTCAGTTTTAGCTACTCTTACAGCTAACTCCAAAATGTAATATACATTACATATACCTCAGACAAAAGACAGTGTCAAACACAATCATGATATAAATGCTGCCACAAATCTTTAGAGAATCTTAAAGTTTCCTGTTACTCATTTTGGCACTGATTTTTTTTAGAATAAATGGGAGAACTTAAATCTGTACAGTGTAAGCCACTATTCCTAAAATTGGCTCTGAATAGTAAGCCTTCCACAAAATATAGAATACTGCCATGGAAACATTGTCCAGATAAAAATCACAGAAGACATTTCATTGGTCAAGTCTGTCTTCTGGTACACACATGTGTATTGACTGTAAGGCCTGTTAGATAAAATGCAGTCTGTATCAAGCAATGGGCAATGTTAAGCAACACTGAAAATGGCAGTTTTCAAATTCAAATCCTACTTTAGCAAAATCGATAAGCCATCTGTTGAGTGTGTGACAGCCAGACTCTGCTTCTTGGCTGGTTCATACATAATGGAGACTGGACTTGATATTAGGTTCATGTGTGTAAAAACATCAGTCAATTTGTCACTCATCCAATCTCTGAAACATCTGAGGTTCAGTCTGTATTAACTCAAATGACTGACCATTAAGACTTTACTGTTTTTAGTACTTCGTTGTAAATGAACCACAACCTTCTGACAAGTGAGGTTCTTCAGTGTAAGTATACAATTACGGACTCTACCTTCCAAATGGAAACTTACACACAGGAGACAACAAATGGATATTAAAAATTGATCCATTAAATGGTTATAAAAACATCAACATTAGTTCTGAGTTTTAAGCTATTGAATAGAAACTAACTGGCAAAGGCAGTGTACCACAAGGCATCCCAGAAGAAATCTTTGTAGCAACTAATCTGTCCTGGTGAACCCGTCTTCTAAGTACCTATTTTAAACTTCTATAAGTTTCAGACTGCTGTTTGTTGGACTCATCAGAAACACTGTTGTTATATCTAATATATCAGTTTGGTAACACAACATGATCTTAATTTTCTCACACAATACAGCCATTTACAAAGTGCATTTCTTTTTCTAGAAAGAAAGGTGCTAAGATCTGACACAGAAAATTATTTTGATATCTTTGAATTGTATGTAACTACTTTCAGTAGGCAAAATCAAAAAGGCAACCAAAAACCAAAAAAACAAAACAAAAAAAGCTTAACACCATACTGAATCTGTGATACTACTTGACAACACAACTGTTCTTCAAACTTTTGAACTGAGAAGCAGATGACTGTACTGGAAACCTTCTAATTCAACACATAAAAACTTTGGTACAAAGATTTCTTTTCCATCATTCCTCAACCAACATTCAATATGAATTATGACATAAACTTTATCATGAATAAATATTATATTATCACAAAATTGTTCAGTTCTTGTAATGTTTCTTTGGTATAGTTCGGTACATCCAGAGAGCAACCAATTCTAATCTCAACTCATTGGTAAACAGTTTACACTGGCCAATGCGAGTTGAGGAGCCTTTCAAAATTGTGCCAAAAATTGCTGCATTTCACTGCACAATACATATAATCATGTAAATTATAAATCCTTAGTTTTTATTGTGAAATTACGGAAAAAATACATTTCATTATTTCCATTTTTGTAATGTATTGAAGTACTTCATGTAAGAACAAACCGTATCACCTCAGGTGACAGTAAGATCCATTTTCAAAATGTGGCAGCACAATGGCTGACAAGAATAGTGCAAACATGCCATAACAGCAATGTTCTATTCTAAATGCTGGACAGACCACATTTATGTCACCACAAGGCATCAGAATAATCAGACAAATCTGCTTTAAAAATACTGTGTCCTGTATGCTCCCTGGATGCAATACACATCACAAAATACATCATATCAACGTATAGTCACTACAGAACTATATATCACACTATCTATTATTTCTACCACATGAATCATAGTCACTGGTGCCACTGAATCATAATTCTTGTATCACACAGGCACGGAGATCCACTGACTTGGTGCCCTGTCAGTTTGCCCTAGAAGCCTGAATCGTTTGTACATACAGCAGTTTCCTAAATACTGCACTACTAGGGCTTGTGCAGCAGCAAGCAATTACTAAAATGTCAAAATTGGTCCTTCACGGTGATCCAAAATATCTGAAATATAGAATTACAGTTAGCAGCTAGACATGAGAGGGTTATATAAATACCTACACAAATAATGAATGTATCAAAACAAAAATTCTCAACAATGGTGTTCTAAAACTTCTCCTGTGAAGAAATATTCATGAGGAAAAGATTGTCTTGTGGACAAAAGAGTTTTAATTTCAGATGTTAAATACTTGTACATACTGGAAAGGCAGATGTTTGAGAATGAAAGTACGAAATAAAAATACCTTTAGCAATACTCCACCAGGGCAGTGTTATGTATGTCAGGAAAGCATTTAGTGGCACTGACTGTGCACGCCGTGTCTCCTTCCAGAAGTGGAATGTCTGTGTGAATCCACGCATTGTCCACAGTGGGTTGTAAGCACCGTCATCCAGTTCTGCAAACAAACAACATAAATCATAACCTGGAGCACACCCCACAAACTAACAGAATGCGGACAGTTTTCCAGCTGAGATTTGAACCAGATACAAGTCGCATGTACAGCCACTGTACAACACTGATTTCTGATATAACCATTTGTTTATATTTAGTCCAAGAAAGAAATGACTTTATTAAAATGATTCATGGTGTGGTGCTTAGACACAGTGACAACTTTCTTTGTACACAGCACGTATTTACGGAGATATAAATGGCTATTTTAGTCCACATCTGTAGTGGATACCCTTGTTACAGAACAGATGACAGGGTGCTGAAGTAAGCTTACATAACTAAACATGACATAGAAAGCCAATGCACAGCCATGCAAAGGTAGGAAACAACAAACATACCATGACTCCCTGTAACAGATTTTTGTGGTAAGTCACACCAGTAATTTACAATTGTTCCATCAGACGTTATTCTATACGGTGGGGTCACAGATCGACCCCAAGCTTTTGTGTGATTGTTCACTGAATCTTTCCACTTCTTAGGCAGAGACCCTGTACGAGTGAAACTTCTCGTTTCTCTCAGACACACACAGGCCACATTGCTTGGTTCATCTGTGAATACTTCCTCACATGACTGCAGCATCACATCACAATCACCATCCTGAATGTCACCAACACTGTTAGCTGTGGTAATGCTGCAGTCTGTCTCCCTTTCTTCACCAGAAGAGAACTCCACACACACTTTCTGCCCACCAACAGCATCTTCATTAGAAGTGATGTTGTTATTGATGCATGATGGACAATGTGTCACCCTCCCATCAGCGGTGAGACTGGCAGCAGGATAGCTTTGCATCATGCCCATGCTGGGTGCCAACAAACTGTCTGTGCAGCGGTGGGGCGGGTCACATTGACAGCAGGAAGTAGTACAAGAAGTAGTAGTAGAAGAGTGCAGGCAAAACTCGAGCTCTACGGACAAAAAAAGAAGCAAAAACAGAAAATGAAAGAACAAAACAAAATAAAAACATCAATGATCTACTGTACTGTATAGGATACTGTGATAGCATAACCAGGAAGTTTCATACTTACAAGCCACCGAAGTATGCAACTTTCTGTCGTATGTATAAATTTAAGGAACATCTAGAAAGTTGGAACAATTTCCAGTCTAAAGGTCAAACACATAAACAGAGAAAACTATTAACCTTTGTATATATATAATATACTTAAGTAGATTCCATTTCTGTGTTTCTCTATACTGTTACCCTGGATGGTACCTAAGCTATCATGTATCTTTAAATCTTTCATAACAAATTTTAATGTTGGCATAAATGCCATTTTTATAAGGAGAGATAAGATTACTGTACCATCATGACCACGTACATGTTATGCATACTAAACCTGGTGTGGTAACAAATATTTGAAAACCATGCAACTTTTGTTTAGGTTGTACACCACAGATTTTGCCACACACATAAAATCTAAGCATGGCAGTTGAGAAGGAAGACTTTATACATGACGTTCTTCAGTCAAATTCGTCTTTCTGCTGAACATCATGTGATCTGCAGTGCAACCTTCCAACATGTACCAGTATATATAACATAAAGAAATGTGAAAGGTGTCATATGAAGACTGAGATCAAAGATTACAGAAACTGTCTGTAACTGATAACTGGAATTTCACATTGTAAAAATAATTGACTTACAGAAAGTAATACAAAGTTCAATAAATACATTCAAAAATTAAAACTAATATAAGGCACTTTTAGAGACCAGTTCACATTGTATATGGCCAAACACGTTATTTAAATAAAAGTTTTCATTTTTATGAATATACTAAATCATGCACAGAAGTTTCAGAATGAGGAATCTGGTGGAAAATGTGTGTGAATTATGCAATAAAATACAGTATTGAACACCAGCAGTTTAGCAAGTGTATCAGAAAGTTAACAGTTTACTACAGGTAAGCTTTTACTTCCTAATGAACAACAACTTAAAACATGTTCTCTACACTCATTGACAGGAAAGAAACATATTTAATGAAATCAGTTGTATAGGGATCATATTCAAATGCAACTGCATCCAATTAAAAGTTTTCACTGCCTGCTTACTCAATTATACAACACAAATATGAATCATGACTGTCTTCTGGGATGTTGAACAATGTAATTTTGTACATGTTGACCAATAAATCAGATGAGCTTACTGCCTCTACCGTAAAGGGTCAGTCAATATCTACTAGACTACTCAGTTCAACAAGCCAGAAGACAGCCATCTTCTTATTAAACTATCTTTTGAAGCACAGTTTCAACCAACATAAACACAAGCTTTCACATCTGTATTTAAAGAAATAATATATTCTTGGAAAATACAATAGACCAACTGCAAACCACAACTGGATTCTCTTTCTTTATAGCAAAGTTATTCTGTTTCATACAAAATTAATAATAACAAAAACAACAACAGCAACAATGAATAACTCATGTCCTATCCTTCATTTATAAGGCTGAAACACCTCTCCTTATCAAACTAAATACTGTCATTCCCCTCTCCAGATAAACAGGGTGATTTGTAAGGATGGAAACTTTCAAAAAATTAGTACATCCAGACTAGGTTTATTGCATAAAGCTCCTATAATTGGATTACTACTACTGGCAAAACTGACAAAAATTATTTTTTAATTTTCAGTCAATAGCTGAAATTATTATGCATTCCATCTAAAACTTACATGAACGTCTCACTTCCCCCATGCATGCTACATATCATGCACTATTAGTATGATCTGCCTCAAGTTCAATCCTAACTTCAATTTAACTGAGTAATTTCTTGGGCACAGTTTCAACAAATGACTGTAATGCTTATATACTTATCCATAGAATGCACAACTGCCTACTAAATTACAAATTATCTGTGACAAGGGCATTTTAAAGAAGTTAAATTATTTTAACAAGCATAATTTGTGAGAATCTATAGTGAGGATTCAACAATTATTTACTACATTTTAGACTCTCATGGCATGAAGTATGAAATGGCTGTCTTCTGGGTTGCTGCATCATGTAATCTTGCAGGTGGTTACTTTTATGGACAGTGAACAGAAACATGAAATGTGTCCCATTATAATAGTTTACATAAGTATTAGATACACAAAAGATTAAGAAAATTATTGCAAGAAACAATAAACCATGAAGATAAGTGATGACACCAGTTATGAAAATGTGTGTTGAGAAAAATGTGAACACAGCAATAAACTTTCATGTCCACTGGCCAACTGAGCAACTACAAAGTTTGGAAGAATAACCCTGTACCATTCAGTCAGCTACATAACAGAAAATCTTATAGGTGCGACAAGAGAAGACAGAAATTACTCCGGACAAAGTAAGAGACTGTACTAAGAAAGTACATACTATTGTATGGGATTAGTGTACACACAAATAACAATTATAGAGATTATACATAAATATGCTAGGCAGTACAAAACCCATTCTAGAATCCTAATTTAAATCCCATATGAGGCAACCAAACTCTCATTTTTAAGGTTTTCTATCCTCTACCTAAGAGGCATGCCCCTTAAAATTGGGCATGGTATTTATATATCAGATATCAACAATTCCTAATCAACTATCAACTTCACTCCCATAATCAAACTATTTTTCATTTCAACACAAAACAGTCACAAATCTATGCAAGGATTCATATTCATCACAGCAAAGTTATTTTCATTTATGAAAATTTTAAAATATCTGCCACCAACTCAAGGAATCAATTCCAACACAATTTTTTAAATATAAAGCAAGAGCAATTAATTAGATGTGAAGTTTCCATGACATGGCAGTGAAACTGTGCTACCAAAAGTGACACATTCCTTCAAAACATTGGTAAATACCTACAAGACTATATAGCAGCATAATTCTGAAGACTGTAATTCATAATAAAGATTCTCTGAATCACTTCAGGATATGTGACATGTAAACTTCCATTCTGATTGCCCTTGAAAGAATCAGAAAGAACAGTGTACAGTCCTTGTCAAAAAAGCATTATTTCTCACCTGATTCCTTTTCTCCAGTTACTGAAAACTCTACTAAACACAAGTGCAAAGCAGTAAATAGGAACTGTCATAACACAGTAAGCAACATGCAGAGACAAAAGACAAGCAAACAGCACCATGAACGACATGAGAAGATCAAATCTACCTTGAAGCTCAGAAAATAATCCAGTATTTATACAGCAACACATTCTGTAATAATCAAAAATACTATTTCCTTTACATCTGCATTCAAATTAAGATTTAGGAATATCACAAAGACATCTACTGGTCTGATACAATAGCTAAAGTATTAGACATCATAACGATGTGAAGAGTAAGGAGACAGCTTACTATGTACATGCGAGTCACATACAAATATTTCACTAAAAACTAAACCCCCATTTTTAAGGAGGATCCTCTCAAAAACAAACATTTCAACCTACTTCTGAAGTCATACTTCATCAACTACTGCATAACTTATGCACCCTCATTTCTTGTTTACTATTCAATCCACTGCAAACTGTTTCTTTTAATTTGATCCACTCATTTTACTTGCAAAACTGTATGCTAAATGCAATACAAATCTCATGATCAGCAACACAAGAAATAAAGGTCTGTTTCTTACCATCTCTCACATCGCCTGCCTCTATCTCTGTTAATCCATTAGCCATGGAGTCTAGACCTTCATTCTCTGAACGAGACTTGGCTCCTGATGTTTCATAAGGTTTTGTTTTCCATCCACCTCGCACAAAGTTGTTCAAGTTTGCGCTAGGATCACTCAGCCGCCTCTGTGTCAATAGGAGGACATCACATTACAGCACCAACAAATGCACAACATTTCAAAACTACACTACGTAAAATGTAAGGTTTCGGAACAAAGTTCTGAGGAGAATATTTGGCCTGAAGAAACAGAAAATAACAGGAGAATGGAGAAAATTATATAATAATGAGTTTCATAATTTGTATCTTCAGCTAATATTTCTTGGACAATTAAAACCAAGAAGGATGAGAAGAGTTCCAAAAAACAAAAAGCTTCTTAATAATCTATAAGCTTTTCAAGACGTCTACAACATATGCTGCACATAATACTAAAAGGCTGACAGATGTGAGATCTGTATGTGGCCTCTTACCTTCATATGTCATTATTAAAATATTGAGCACATTTTTCATTTCCCCCAGGCATACCACATCTCCCATTTTATCCTCTCCGATTCAATCACTCTACCAATATTAGGTGAAGACTACAAATTATGAAGTTCCTCATTATGTATTTCTCCATCATCCAGTTACTTCCTCTTTTTCAGGTCCAAATATTCTCCTCAGCATTTTGTTTTCAAACGCAATTAATTTAGTTTTTTTCTTAAAGTAACAGACCAAAGTTCACACCATCGCAAAACATTCCTTACTAACACAGCTCCCAACCCTCTGTAAAGCTAACTGTACTGTACCTGATGTCTATAAACATAGAAGTCCTCTGGGTCTTCATCCCAGTCCGAGTCCCACATGTCTGTTGCACACAGCCCAGGTTCAGAAGTTGGGGTTTCTGCTCCAGAACCTACACAGAAAATTTTTACCACATCAGCATCTTGCAATGTTTAGATGACAAACACTATGATAGCAGAACCCAAGGTTCTGCTATGCTAATATCAAAGCCATTCCAATGAAAGTTCCTAATTTCATTTCTTGTTCCTACAAATCCTTTCACTTTAATTCATAGGGTAAAATTATAAAGGCTGAGTCAAGTCTACTCAGCCACAAAAAGGGAGAACACCGAGTATAATTCATTATACTCCCGTACTGAATGACCAATAAAATAATTTTCCAACCACGACTTTGAAACAAATTACACATTTTTAAATTGGGACACATATGCAGGTACCTTTAGGTTTTGTTACAGCCATTTCTGCATGGCCCTTTCCTTGAGGTCCTTTCATGCGAACAAACTCTACCCGCTGGGTTGTAGCACCAGAAAACAGCCCAAATGTCATCCGCTGGGCCATCTTGCTACTCAGACTTGACTGTAAGGCACAGGTATTGAAAAAATAAGGCTGTGGTAACAGTTCAATACTGAAAATTTCTGGATCTTCAAATCTCTTAAAAACAACTTCCATCAATTTTAATAATTCAAATATAATTATAAAAAATATTTTGGAAAAAGAAAAAGTTGTGACAAGAGCTTGTGCATAATTTCCCTCAAATACTTCAATCTACATGGAATAGTAGTTTTCACACTCAACAGCAAAAGTTCTGGTAATCCCAAGTTTGTGATGAGGTAAACATGGCCATTGTTACTGGAATAAACTGTGAATATAACCAATCATTATATGCTTCTATACATACTTCCTTCTGTGGGTTTACTGCACACATCTTGCTCCAAACATGTACTGGACAAGGATGTGCACGAGTGTTAATGATGGAGACAAAGTCCATTAACACTATATCACTTATCACACTCTGATACATAGGACTGGATTTTCAGGGTAACTAAGTAGACATGTGAAATTTTGGCAAAAATAATGTGTATTTTTTACCAGTGACTAAACATAAAATACTTCCATCCTTGTTCCTCACTTTTGGTGTTGGTGCCCAAATCTACAGAAAATATAATAAAACTATACATAAAAAGTATCATATTTATATACATAATACTTATTCCCAAGTGCTCTTTTTCTAATGTACAAACAAATTTTGTACCTGTAATCCTTAACAACATACCCTGGCATCATACACTTTCTTTAGTGCATCATAGCGAATGGAGCCTAGAAATATCACGCCCTGAACTGCTCCATCTCTGTCAGAAGCCACTAGTTCCACACACACCATTTCACCATCTCGAACCAAGATATCACAGAACACCTGTTAAACACAAACACTCCCTTTAATCACACGCAACATAACAAACTCCATGGAGCAGGATCATCACTGAAAAGTAGATAGTCACTCCGCTGCTCAAGAAATGTCCATGTTCATAAAAGCCTGCCACTGATACCTGTCCTGAGACAGCTAAATATAATTCTTCAAAACCATATTTTTCTAAGAGCCATTATATCATAATCTATCTGCAGTTAAGTCTCCCAAGTGGTATCTCCCTTGTGGTTCTTTGACCACAATTTCATATGCATTTCTGGTTCTCTTCCCCCATTCTCCCATGCTTTACACGTCACATTGTTCTTGATTTACTCATCCTAACAATATTAGGCAATGAATAAAAATGGTTGAGCTACTCACTGTAATTTTTTTTCCCCAGGTTTAAATATCTTCTGCAGCAACCTTCTCGTCTATCAACATTCATTCATAAACAAATATTACAGTAAGGTGAATATGGGCAGAGTCTTTAGGGTGTCACACCATGCTTTTTTAATAAAAAAGGACAATGTTTCAAAGGACCTGCTAGCTGAATCACAAAGAAGAAGGCAGTACATCCTTTGAAACAATGAAATATTACTATTTTGATGCAGTGCACACCCAAGACAGCAACAAGCTTCTAGTTTATGTTCTACAAATTCAAATAATTTAATAAAATTTCACAAAGGGCAAATTGCTGCAATACAGATTCTAAGCCACTGTAATCTACTGACTACAAAAGCATTTTATGTTAACACATTTCACATTCAAAACTACATATTTCCTCTTTTATGGAGAATGATAAACCATTGTAAATTACCACACGTTTTGAACATCAAATAGGCAAAACTGCAATGTAACACTGCAATATCAGTTTCATTCAAGGTCTGGAGGAAGGGGGATGAAACACAAAAAATAATTTGTCATACCTCATCAAAATTGTCCACCATGAAGCAGATATGAGGGTATGTCATCTCTTCTACTTCTCCTTTAGTATCCATTCTTCTGCGGCTTGGAGATGCATATACTTTCTGGAATAACCAGTGCTATCAAATTAGATAATTAGAAGAGAAACCATGTGTCCACAGCTGCAGTCTCCTTTCTGCTCAAAGCAACAGTTTGGCAATAACCAGAATGAATCGTATGAGACATCATATGTCAGAATTTATCATAACATTAAACACAAGTACACTATGCTTATAGCATCTTGATGTGTTCCCAAGTTAAATTTCTTGTATTGTATATTGTGTTCATTGTACCTTTATCAAATCTGAGTGAATGAAATGCATACAACTGACTTGCTTGCTTACTTTGGTATATTTCATACACAGAAATAGCTGCTTACCTGTGAGTGTCTTTTCAGGACTTGGAGTTCTTTAGGACTTGTTCGAGTGCATATAGCAAGAGTTAAAGTGTAGTCAAACTGATGAATAATAAGGTTCAAGTAAACAGTTTCTTCCCAGTCAATATCTGGATCCCCTATTGGAAGTTTGCGACTGTCCTTGCGAAACACGTCTACTTCAGTCTGCATGAAGTAAATAAAATAAATGCATAATGAGGAAATCACTTCTATCTAGCCATCTGTCCACATTTCTTCTCCAAAATAAGAGAATGGGTTTTTATGAAATGTGGTACTGGATGTTTACACTGAAAGTCAGCAAAAATATTTAATTTTTGTTTGTATCCATCACACACAACCCCTACTTTACATAAAGTTCAAACTGAACTAATTATATAGACACTTCATATTATACTCAGGACTGCAAGTGCTAAAATCTCAGCTATAACAGAAAATTACAAGAGACTGTTAGACTTTATCCTTTATAAGAGATATAATTTTTAAGCATGATAACCAAACCTTAAAGCCTAGTGATCAGCACTCCAGGTTCATATTTGGGAAGACTTTGCTTCAAATCTCAGTTCACAGCCTATACTGACAAAAGATTTTTTCATATTTTTTCTGTCCCTCAGACAAATGCTGGAATAGTACCTTAAATTAAGCCACGACTGCTTCCTTCCACATCATTTCCATTCCATTATTCATTAATAATTCAATACTATACTGTCTGAGCTAATGACAGTGTCATTAAATAAACACAAGCAAGATATTCTGAAAGCTAATTGCAATTCTGTCTTCTGGTCAAAGTTTTTTCTATTTCTCCTAACAGTGACCAACTAAGCGTTGAAATTGATATGCATCATGTTGTCTTTAAGGTAGAATCTGAATTTTTAAAATTTATCTAGATATGGTTTGAGCTTAATTTAATGAATAAACCCCTACAGAAAAGTGCAATAATGAAACAAGTCATGTGAAAAGAAACTGCATTTTTACATAAATAATCATTACATTCTGAGTGTGTATGTGTGCACGCGTGCGCATGTGACTAAACTTTATTAAATAATTTATTCCGTAGATGGAGCAATAAGTACTTCATAATACTCATACACAAGCCCTTGCATCATCATGTCAAAATAACAAGGCTGCATTTGATGAGATATTTAAATTCTTCAACACTTCCTCAGATGCTCTTCAGTGAATAGGAAAATTATGAATGATAAATTGGAAAGAAAAGTTATGCCCTATTTTACAGCATCAAAACAACTTCGGCCTTGAGCACTGAAGAAAACCACAGAATATGTTAATTATGATAGTTGAGAATTACGCAGAAATCAATAATACAAGTTAGAAATGTTACTGTGACACCACTCTGCTCTGTAAAATAAAACTGAAATATACCTCAAATTTAGGGAGGTAACGAGATGAACCTTTGACATGCCGCTTCCGGACAAAAAACAGTAAATCATCACAATCAATACAATGTTCTGTTTGAAAGAGAAAATGTCTGACAAACAAATCAGTCCAATATGTCGTTCCTTGAAGCATCACAAAGCCAGAATCTGAAACAAGTCATATCATTTTAACATTACATTTCAGCAAAAAGAAATTGAAAAAAAACCTTATACATAAATAGCAGGCCACCATGATTCTACTTCACTGACCAACTTTAAAAAAATGGACAAAAATGTATACAAAAGTTCCAAAGGACCTCTTTTTGCTACAAACTGCTTAACATTATCTCCTTAAATATGTATATCAGAATAGCAGTTACCAATAACAGCAGCCATCTATTTCCTATCATTAATCTTTTCCTACATACATGCAGACTAATTCAAACATATCAGTTGAAATGCATTAATTATTTATATTGGTTATTTATTAACTTTCTACAACAGATTAAACTTTCTTCTTAAGTCTCTATGGCAAAAAAGTCAATACAATATGATAGGCAACTTAGCCACTGATGGAGTACAGAATGAATAGTTCGAAGGACCACTATCAGATTACTCCACCCACGATCATGTTAACCGTCTTTGGAGAGATACGATATCAAACACTTCTTAATGAATACTTACCATCTTTTAACATTTGACGCATTTCCTTAGTCCTCTGGAAGTTTATTTCCTCTAATAACTGTTCCAACATTGTCGGTGCTTTCAACAGAGATGCTGCACTAGAAAAAGCCATTCTCACACACCTATGTGATGGGCAATGAATCTAATTTTTACGGGTATATGGACACGATATATGGAAGTATATTCGTATAAAACGGAACACAAATTTACACGCTTAGTTCTAGAAGCTTATAATATGGACGAGTTAAGTACCACACACATTCTTTTTAACAACAAATTCATTCCAACACCTCACCAACAACTTCCATGTTGACGTTCACCACGGAGTATGAATCACTAACATTGCTACCAATGTCCTAGTTTGCCTAAAATCGATTAACTTTAACCCCTGTTCCTGTTGGTGTTCCTGATTACAATAAATGACTGATTTCGAAATCATGGCGGTCATTTTCAAATCAACATTTCCACTTTTCTCTAGAAATCTGTACTGTCAACAAATAATTATACATATCTCTTCACGTATGTTCAAAAACAACCACATAGCATTTTTTTTTTAAAATGAGCGGCATTTTTAAACTACACATCCAGTTATGAGTATCCAGGAGGTATGGATGTTTTAAAACACTCTTTTGATTAATATTTTTCTTAAACATACAAAGTCGATCCAGTCCTAAATATCGTTAATGAGACATTCGATTACGCGCAGCACTATCGGTAAAAACAATCGAATGCTGGTAGTTCATTGAAAATTTACCAGCGTGCAGAACAAAATTATCTGTGTGAATGGCACATGGTACAAACTTATGTGCTGTGTAATTGATCTTGGTATCTATTTCTCATGCCTCATCCCTTATCCTAATACCCACTTTTTCCAAACTGTGGCAACAGTTCACTTGGTGTAGCAGCAGACCATATGACAATTACAGTCTAAGTTTTGGATAATTTAAGTAATTTTACTTTATTTAACTTTGGTTCATTTAAATGATACAGTTTAAGAAAGGGTTCAGTTCTGAACAAAATATTATAATCAATAAAAAGTTTCTTTTGACACTGTATGTTTTCTTTACAATTGCCTATTTTTTTGATATATCAACAATACATTACATTTCTGTTTTTTTAATATTATAAATTACTCAGGCTGCAACATCAAAGAAACGATCTATCAGTGCTGACACTTGTGCTGGGGCATACTTGATATACTTCTCTGGGTTCTTCGTAAAAGGAACAGTGCTATACCTGCAATTACATATCACATCCTTATTAAGAGTATTATATTATTTATCTATCTTGTCAGAGATTGCACTTTTATTAATTTCTTCAATGACACTTCACCATCTGAGGTGTTTATGTAGAAGATGTGACTGTGATCTATAAAAGGAACAACTTCAGCATCTGCTTGGTGCAATTGAAGAGAACCACTGCCTGTGAACAGAGTGAGATAATGAAGCAAGTCGGTGTAGAGCAAAGCTCTAGGCTTCTGTTTAGAAGTATACAGTTCAAATGGCAATCAGGTTGCCTGCTGTTACGACTGAAATTTCATATGGTTTTCCTCTCTTCATATAGGTGAATACCAGGATAGCATTTAAAACAGGCTATAGGGGTCAGACTGATGACACTACAGTATTCTCAAGTGTTTATGAAAAGCAGTAAGATCCACTGCAAGCACTTTGTAGATAAATGAAGCTGTTCCCACAAGAAACAGGAATAATGACTGTACATGCACTTGTCCTTTTGTCCTTCTCCATCTAAAGGATTCACCCAAATCTCTCCTCTCACGAGACAAAAATAATGTAAACAGTTTTGCTTACTTTTCATAGAAAGCATGATACTTGGGCAGAATGTACTCCTTATTGTCTCTCTTCAAACTTTCTCTTAGCTCGACGTCTGGGATTGAGTAGCTGCGTTGTACCCTAGCAATTTCTTCCATTTCCTTGTTAAAACCCTGGAAAATAATCTCAACAGCTCAGCAGTATGTTCAAATACATCATAAATATTACTGAAACATCTGAGTGCTTGGAAAATGTCCGCTTTTAAGACTAAAAAGGAGATGAGAGGATAACATTAGAGAGATACGTTATAAGGAAGGGAGATGGACAGAACTCACTCAGGTTTCTGTCCAATGGAGGTCTTTCATATTAGTGATGTTGAACCACAGCATCAATTATTAATGGAGGTTTGAAAACTGAAAGACTGCAGAGCAGAAGCTACAGAAAATTTGAGCTTTTATGCAGAGAGAATTGTAGGCTGTAATGAACTACATACAGGCTGAAGAGTTAACTTAAAAGTACTAAATGGTTAAATTTAAAAATTACATATGTTATTATAATGCCATTTTATTTTTAAGTGACTAAAAGCACATTTTTGTGTGCAATTACATGCAGGAGGTTGGGAAAGACTGATCCAGTTCAACAGGTCACATTCTTAAGTCAAGACTTACAGCAAACCTCTCCTTAATCAAGTGTCTGTCTTTGTCCCGCAGTTTTCCTGCATGCGCCATAGTTATAGGTGCATCCTCAGCCCCACAGATGTGGCTCAGAACTCGACTCCAACTGCAACATGTAAGCCTACTTTACACAATACAGTCTAAATATTTTTAACTGAGTTGTTAGTGGGATCTTACTTGGACAATGTATCACTCTGTCCTCCTTGAACAACTCTGTTAAACTCATGTACTTTGTTTTTTAGTTCATATAACAACAATTTCTCAACTGCATATGTTTCATATGTTGTTATTTTGAGGTGTGTTAGGCATGAAGCCTGGATCATTCCACCCACCTTTGTGAATACATCCTCTTGTGCTCTCTTATCATGTCATGGTAACTCTCTTCACAGTCAGGCTCTGAAAGCTGAACCAAGTCAAGTAGTCCTGCACGTTGCAGGGCTTTTAGCACATAATGATTGTTGTTGAGACGGAACACAGCTCGCAGATAGATGTCACTATACAGGTCACTCTTACCAACAAGTGTCAGGTTTAACTGTACCAAGACCTTCTCTGTAACAGACAGCAAATTTAAAGAAAACATTATAAAACACAGAAAATATGAACAAGATTTTCCAGATAATTGCATGTTGTCTTAATTTAACCCTTTTGGATACTAATTTTTCACTGCTGAACAACTCTTGGTATATAATTTTGTTTAAACAGACTTGGCTTAACATTTCAATTTTATATCTATAAAATTATTATGTTACAAACCTAACATTTTTAGGATTATTGAATACTGTTGTCCATTATCTGCATCCCTGCTAGTGGTCTCTGGCAGAAGAATTTTTCTTAATGACTACGAAGATTATGCAGAAGTAGGGTAACAGCTGTGCACAAATTTACTCAAAGTGTAAGTTTCTTTGTGTAAATCTGTGCACAGCTCTACTTTCTTATACTTATTACTTTTCAACCTAACAGAGCAAAATACTTTTACAAAATATTACTAGGGAGCTAAAGTTTCAGTTTTCAATACATAACACCTGCTACCATCTAATAGGATACACCTAAACTACTTTGTTAAAAATTACTCTAAAATCACTGGTTGTTAATAATTTGGTGGACACAGGCAGCTAGAAAATTACCAGCTGTTAAGTCAATTATATAAATACACATTACAGTCTGCAATGCTTTTGAAGCATTGCAGACTGTGAACAGCAGGCACAGTTAGACAAACACCAAGTTTTGTTCAGTTAATGACATGCAAGGCTCCAACTCACTAATATATATCCCCACCAGAGCCTTGTTCTTGTCCACTTTGCCATGTCCTGGTATTAGAGTCAGTGCATTACTGTACACAGAGTCCTGTGCTAGCACACCCCCTATGGTGTCCACATAATCAAGCAATTGCTCCAAGAACACCAGAACATTGCTTGTCAATTCATGGACTGTCCCATCTTTAGGCAGCTGCGTGCTTGGATCTGAGCGGACACTCTCTATGAAATCTTCTAATGCCTTTGCTCCCTGTTAGAAACATTAATGTCAAAGCAATGTTAAAGGTATTACTTATATTGTCCTACAGTATTACCTCTGCCCATGTATTCCAGTTTTATCTTTTCCCATCATAAAGAAGTATGTAATTCTCTGCTAACAGAGACAAAAGGTCTCTGAAACTATGAACCTCTGCTCCAAACTAACATGGCTGATCACCCACGAGAACACAACCCTTTGTTCTTTGCTCTCTTTGTCACTGATTTTTTCAGAATTTTGCTTCATTTGTGTCCATCCATTGACCTGTCTCGAGAGTCAACTAAGCATCAAGCTGCTCATTTAGCCAAGAAATTCTCTGCTTTCTCTTATCTTCAGGTTTTCTACAAAAGACTTTTTAAGAATTTCTCATCTCTCACATGCGTACCATGTACCTCACCTAATATATAGCCATCATATTGAGAAGTATTAATAACAAAGTGCTGTTTGTATACTTACTGTGCCATGCAAAGTGTTGAGAATTGAGGCAAACTTTGAGCGAACATTATAATCACAGCCTTCCACAGTCCGTTCAAATTCAGGACGCATTGTGAGAAGGTGTTTCAATATAGGAAACACTACCAGCACTGCTGCAAAATCATGGCGGTTGATACAGCGCTTGGCCCGAGATGCTATATTCTGAAAGAACATTCATTATATTTAAACAAAGGCCTCTGAATCTGTCTTTGAGAAACTACAAACTTTCAGTAACAGACGGAGGCTTCATGCCATGGCCACTTCATTCCATTTTATACATCCCAGGAGGCATGCATGTGGAGGTATGGTATCTAAAGAGAGAAAAGAATCACACATACCAGGTAGTTCTCCATCTCTTGCTCATCCACTATGTCTTCTCGTGATTCTAGTATAACACGCCATATCACAACATTTAAATGTATCAAAGGAAGAGAGGTTCACGAACTGACCCACTTGTGAAACCGTTCAGACACCACTAATACAAATTAACACAGATGAAAATAATTTATGAACACAAAGATTACAAGCACTTCTTGTATTTGTTTCTTTCTTAATTTCATCAATAGTACCTCTCCATCTTGAACTACCATATCCATGGCATCTCGGATGATGATCTCGAACACTTGATGCTGGTGCTGCAGAGGCACAATGCCAACCATAAGTGAGCGCTCACTCTGCATCAGTCGCTGCAAGGCCATCACACATACCAGGTAGTTCTCCATCTCTTGCTCATCCACTATGTCTTCTCGTGATTCTAGTATAACACGCCATATCACAACATTTAAATGTATCAAAGGAAGAGAGGTTCACGAACTGACCCACTTGTGAAACCGTTCAGACACCACTAATACAAATTAACACTCGTAATCACAGTTACTTGTTTAAAATTAATACAAGCACCAGTCATCATAATGACGTTTGTTAAACTGTACTGAAATATGGAAGTTTCTTGTTTCTTATGACTACATCATGAAACTATGTGACACCACAGATATTTTACATTTTTATAGCCATAGCACCACACACTAAACAAATGCTAAGAGTCAGAAGCACTATAATGAAAGAAACAGATATGGTAATCTAGCAACTAGACCACAAAGAAAATAAGAAAACTGGAGAACACATTGATTTTACATAGAAAATTAAATTAACACACTCTTGTCATCTCACCTAAATGCAATGCAGAACGTCTATTTCCAATTGTAAAACCTGTGGAATGTTCAAGAGTTTGTGTAGCAATCTGTAACATCTTGTTGGCTTTCTTCTCAAACCTAAACATAACATCACAAAATTCTTACTAGAGCAAAGTACATACTCCAAGAAAGAAAGAAGAAAAGAAGTTTTACCAATCTCTTTTACATATCTGAACTACTGTAATGCTTATAATTAGGATCTTTACTTAGTCAAATGCAACTATATATATGACACACCACATCTCTACAGCATGTGACATCAATTTACTATTCATCTCCATACACATATAATACACCAGCTACTTATAATTTTCTGGGTATGCTAATAAGAGAAGGCACATCACAAGAGCAGACACCAATGCAAAATAGTGAATATAGTACTAATAAACTGTCTATTCAGTCTTCTTATTTGTAGGCAGTGGATTTTAATACAAATGAACACAAACTGTAGTTACTGCAATTTGCATTTAACGTAGTAAAACATCTTTCAAGTAATTAAATGGAGGTGACTGAGATGGGCAAAAAATGTGTTTAGTCAGTCAGTTGCAATTAACATGTCAGTTGAAGATCAAATCCTGTTCAGGCCTACTTCAGGGTATGAAGATATAAACTTACATGTGCAGTCTTTTGGATGCTCTCCGGCCTGGGGTTTGAAATTTTGGTCTCTGAAACATATAATTATTATGAATTTATGCCTACAAACAGAATGTGCCATCTTACTCTTCTCACACTTAAAAACAAAGTGCTACAGAAAGTATAGACATGCAAGAGAAGAATTCCATTGATTCATTAACAAGCTAATTATTTTAATGCCATTTTATTTGTATGAATGTAAATCACTTAAAGGAAACAGTTTCAAAGAGATACTATCCTACCATTTGCTTACAGGACTAAAATATTAATAAAATTCAGTCAGAATTTTGCCTAAATACGAAATGTACCGTCTGGGCATGGCAGATGTGTTGGAAAGAACTGTTCCTCTCTGTACATAAAGAGAAACTCACCACCATGGGGGAATTTGCTGCTGGTATGCCCTGTATACTTCCACCACTAGATGATCTCTGCTGTTCTTTCAGTTGTTGTAAAGACTTAAGTAACACAGTAGCACGTACACGTGCATACACATTCATGTATTCATCTCGATTGTGCATGATGAGCCAGTCTGCAATGCATTTCAGCTCACTTGAAACAGTCTCTGGGAACTGGTTCAGAGACACAGGAGTTTCTTCCACTGGTGTGTCTGTAAAACAATAAACACAAACACAATACAGTAAAATATAATTTTATCAACCTTCCTAACATATGTGAGTCCTCAGTAATTCCACACAAAGGTATGTTTTATGAAATGAAAAAAATAAACTGAAATGGGTTGGATAGATTCAAAAACTGCAACTGCACAGATTATATAAAAGAGTTCTGAAACTCTCATGTTGGTAAAGATGTCAACGTTCTTCTGGATTGTGGCATCTTGCAGACTGGTACACACAGACACTGTTTCAGAGAAACATACTGTCTCCGCCTTATTTCTGTTTGATCTATTTTAATACTGTCCTCACATGAAATCTATGGTGCTCCTTAACATTAATTACATTAACTTTTACAATCCCTATATCATATAAAATTAATTCTAAGACTACAAGCATTCCACATCTCAACCTCATCTTTACCACATCTGGCTTCACTAATACACCAAATCCCACAAGCTCGGTGGGGCTGTACACACACTTACCTTCTACCAGCTCCAGCAGCATAATTGGAGAAACAGGTCTGCTGTGTCGGAGCAGCAATTCCTTAAATTCTCGATTCAGTGCATCACCACCAGAATTAAACAGAGTTGACTGAAAAGGTTAAAAAGTTCGGGAAACTACACACAACCAGAGATGTTTTGTTGCATATGTGTGTGAAATTTGGTTGAGACAGTATAGCAAAGTTATCTCTACAAACTGAGGTAAATTATAAAATTATAATAGGTCTATGTAAAGAAATAAGGTCCTAGGTTGAGATTAGTTCCACCAAGGGGCACAAAAGAACAGAATTTTTTTCTCTCACAAGTCACCTGAAGACAAAAATAAAACCACTTATCAATTATTATGTGAGGCTTACCACATTCTCAAGCTCAACACTTTGTGGATTGTTTTTCTCAAAGTATTCCTGTGCAAGTTGCAGCTTATTCATTGCCTGCAAGAAAGCATTTAATCCCGAGCCACCATTTGCAACTGGCCCAGGACCAGCCCGAACTATAGGTTCCACATCCTGACTAACTCCATAAAACCCTACTACATGGTCTAATGCTGCCAGCGTACGTTCAATGTCTTTAAAAAGTCAAGGAAAAAGTACATTAATTCAGTAATCTTTCCTAATTGCAAATTACATCTTCAATGCAACTTCTGGCATCTGGAAGAACAAGTTATGGTCTATTGCAAAGTATGGCTCCAGCATTTATCAGGAAAGACAGAGATTAACCACAATACCCCAACCTGGTTACCTGATATTTCAGCCAGGTACTGTCTACATTATCATTACTCCTACCTGCTTACAAATTAACTACAAAAGAAGGATGTCATCTCCAAGAGAACAGATAAAATAAAATGAATCTATAGTGCCTGTAAAACAAGTCCTATAAACAAATATAAATACAGCTGCTATTAAGAAATCAACTTCAAATCTCCACATTTCTCAAACCATTTCATTCATAAATGACTTAAATATTGTTGAATGAATGAATGGAATTTGACTTATCTGACTGAAAGGATACTTTCTTGTCTGCGCTGTAAATTTCCTGTCTCATTGTATACGGGAAGAATTGTTTCCTCTAGGCGCGCTAAACGATGTTCAAATGATGATAAAATCCCAACCATTCCCTTTGTAAGTTGACTACTGCGACTCACCCTTTCTTTCAGTAAGTTTAGGTTATTCAGTTCCTGAAATAAATACTCAAAACATAATAAAAACAGAAAAAATATTACTTTACAAAAAATGCATTACAAAATCTATCAACATTGCCAATTTTTTTCAACCTTCACAAAAAATAAACTTAATTTCTCAAATTATATGGTTAATTCTACAAGGCCCCTGCACAAGGTGATCCTCAATCATACCATCACCTCTATACTTTTAACATTCCCATTCTTATCCTCAGCAACTTCTAGTGCACATCATGACAGGTCAGTGCATTCCCATAACTGACAAACAGTAAATACGGGAAGACGCTCGAAAACATTGTTTTTCGCTTAAATCTAGAATACAGTCACCAATACCAACGAGCGGCCAAGCCTGTAACATATGCCAGGTTAGATTACAGCCTCTGAAGCACCGCTGGTTTCTTTGTTTTAGAAACTTCCTCTTCTGCTTATTTTGTTACGCCTTACGTTTTTTCCGTCTTTCCCCTGCCCTGAAAATCCCTGTGCCCAAAGACAACTGACATGCAATAACGCTCATAGTATATACAATTATACTTGAATTTAGGTTATGTTTGAGAGGGACACAAAATCCACAAAAATAATAAAAATATAACTGGTGCACCTTTTCTAATTTGTTTTCTATTTCATACTTCGTCTCACTCGGTTCGTGCATTATTGCAATTACAATAAATAATTGATAATACAAAAATCACCAACATTCAACGCCTCACACACATTTTCTTGCTGACAGTTGCACCAATATTTGAACAGCGAAATTACTATTTACGTCTACCGCATGATCCTGGTTATAACATGCTTGCTACCGTTTGTTTGCAAAACAACTCTTCGGTTTTCTGTAATTGTTATTTATTTATGAAATAATTGAATTTCTTAACAGCTATAAGTTTATTAAATTCTTTAGGTAAGGACGTAGCTATTCTCGTATTTTGTCATAAAGCAATAGTCAACTCTGCAGTGTGTGGGCAAGTAGCACCCCACTAATTCAGTCATAAAAATAAGTGGTATAAGGACACTATTCTGATGCTTCCTTTCCTAAAACTACGTTCTTTTCTGAGGGCATTAGATCATATCCATACATAACAGATGAAATCATAATTTTAATATTGAAAGAAATTATTTAAAACTATAATACTTTGCTGGTAATAAAAATAAACTCTACTATGAAAATTAAAGACACTTTCGTGTGTAAATAATAATTAACAGAGAAATATAAATGTTAACATTTGATCAAGTCATACGGATTTAGGGAGTTGGTGACTTATCCACGGTTGGCAATTGGCATGACGACATTTTTCACACGATATACCAACCTTTCCGACCGTAATCGGCAGAGAAGTGAAATTGCAACATTAGCAACAATGAATATGTAATAATCAAGAGTATGTCTAAGGCTTTCAGATATCTATCTGCTCAACATAGTCTTGCTAATGAACGCATCGGACACCCCAGGACCAGTTTTTGCATTTGTTATGCAGCTAAGGAAAACTAGGCTTCATACACTAAAATCAAACTTATGACCTAGATGCAACCCTGCTCGTAACACAAATAACCAACATACTGCTAATAAAGTTCCCCATAAGATTCTATCCTGAGTTGAATCCTCGCAAGTACTTCTTCGTAAAATATATTTTAATATTATCCTGTTATCTTTTTCTTGTTTTACAAATGGTTACTTTACACTTGTTTCAAATTCAAGTTTTCGTTGTTGGATTCCGTATTTAATATTGTCTTTTAACCGCACTGCTAGTTACAGCAAAATAGAACGACATACAGATCTAAAGGATTCTTAATGGTAGGGTAGCATCAGTTTCCCACATTTTTTACGATTTAATAACCTGATGCTTATGGCAACTATTTGATATGTTCCCAGATGTTACAGCTGGTTTTATTGTAAGCAGAATATGTCAGGAAAACATGTCATTCGCCCAGACAATGATGTCCTAGTTCAAAACTTGATATATTCCTTTCTAAGTCCTACATAATGTTGCTATATATGATTGCAATAAAAGAATATTAAAATGGACTTTAGATGAAAATGGTGTGTTGAGAGCTGAATTAGCGGTATTTACAATACGGTCTAACGTGGTATTTTGTAAATACTGCAATACCACAAGAAAAACTATAAAAGGAAATTCTGAATCTGAGGTACGGATACATTGTATGTAGTTGTCACAATTACATTGATTATGTTGATGTGAAATTCATTGTCTCCATTTCTTACATTTCTAAAGGATATTTTACATAAAGGTCTCTATGCATATGTTAGTAAATGCCACTATGTTATTGTGGCATTGTAGTACTCCGGTTTCCATGTCAATGATCTAATCTAGTGATAAATTGTTCGTGATATTGGCTGTCCTGAATTGATGGCGGTGTGAGCGGTGAGTGACATCTAGGGGTGTCGTTGGAACTTTAATATACGTGTAGCTATGATAAACGGTCAATAAATAGTTGTCATGAAACAAAATGAATGTTTATAAGTGAGTTTAAAGCAAGTGCCGAAATCAAAAATCAGAACATCCGGAAAAAGTTCAATAAGTGGACTGCTGTACCCCATGCTTTCTGCCCTCGCCGTCACCTTCCATCCGTTGACCAATTATTCATCGCCATTTTGTTTAGCTTTGTGTGTTTATGATGAAAGTGGTTCAGGTTTCAGGTAAACAATTTTCTTGTTTATGTGAATGAGTTTGTGTGTCTAAACTATAATGTGACCTTTCTGAGTTGTTTTTAGGTTCCTTCTCATGCAGGTTTAAATTGTGTATGGTGTTTGAGGTAGTGTACAGTATTTTGCTACTAAAAGAATTGAACAACCGGAAGTTTACAGCTAATTGGGTGTAGAGTGGATGTAAATACTGTGCGTCTTTTGATAATGTGGGGTGATAATGAGAATATTAGGTTGGCAGTTGTAATGGTGAAATAATTTGTTGTACAGACGTTTATCCAAATGGTGTTTTATTTAGTTATTGTGGACATAGACGTTATTAACTTGTGCTGCTTTAAGACCGTAATGGCCTTGGTTGTATAAGTTTTTAACAGTTCAATAAGAGGGGGGAGGGAATTGGGGTTCAATCCAGTAGCAAACCTTCTTCTTTCAGAATACTGACCTTCTTTTGTGTTTTATAGTATATAACGATGTTTATGGCTTGGCATCCTAGTAAATCATTTATTTAGTCATATTGGAGTTAGACATATTAAAATAATCATAGTAATTTTTTAATAGGCGTATGGAAATACTAATGAGATGCGGTTGTTCTTTCATGTAGGCTTAACGATTGGAGTAACGGAAGGAGCTTAATAGTGCTAAGACATGAGCAGCAGAGAGTTTTTTTTCATGAACGATACTTTTATTGTTCATATACAGTCAAGACAGAAAATTGAGATTGTTATTGCAGTAGGACGTCGTAATTTTCTTCTAATGCAAATAAATAGTACTTCATATTTCTAGGTCCTTCATATGTGGTCTGGCCACTATATTTATTCAAAATGTTGGTGACCTGACCCAAAGTTGTGGTTTTGAAATAGAGGTTCTGACTTTGTAATAAGTATGTAGTGTGAAAAATTTTGAACTGAAAACAAGTAGTTTGGAGAAGCAACAACCTGCTTGGAGGTATGTAAACAATGTTTACCATGTGATAGGAAACACCTATATATGAATGTTTGGCAGAAGCAGTGTTGAAATTGTTAATTCCTGTATCCTGGCATAAGCTGTTTTGTGGATACATTGTGACATTTTATATGACTGTATAAAAGTAATAAAAATAACATAGTAGGTTTACAGTTAGATGTGGCTGATATCTTTCATTCTTTTGTCGTGCTAAACAATGCTAATGTGTGTAATCGTATTGTTTAAATTGAAAGGGAATATATTTGTATTTAACATACTTTTATATTTTAATTTGGTGATATGTTAGTGTTAGATCTTGTAAGTGAAAAGTAAACAAACTCTGTGAAGTTTATGATGGGTCAGGGCATGAAAAATGCATGCTACAGAAACTCATATATGAGGTAATGGTATTATGTAGTTTCAGAGAAAGTTTTCTTGTGGTAGTGAACCTTTGGGTTTAATGAAGATGGGGTTTACCTGGACTGGTTGAGTGACTGTAAACTTTTCAAAGTAGTGAACTTGTGTAGATAGTTAACAAGGATATGTAGGAAGGAGTTGCAAGCAAAATGATTAGGGAATGACACGATGTTGTGAAGTTTCTATGTGTAAACCCCTCCCCCTACATACACACACACACATTCACAATAGCTCTGATTTATGCTTGACTTCCTGTCTGGTGATACTGGTAACACATTTTTTCATATTTAAAGGCAGTTGGAATATGATTATTTTCTGTTGTTTTTGTCAGAAAATATGTTGAGCCTTTACACTCTTGTTCAACTTTATGGCGCGATGCATAGGCACAAGAGTGCATACAAGTGGTGTATGCAATATGAATTTATGGTTGTATGTTTTTGATAATTATTTTGTATGCTGATATTATTTTAAGGCAAATTCACAAAAAGAATGATGTGTATGGCACTGCTGCTGTTTGTTTCTGGCTTTTATTTTGTTGTGTGGTCCAGTCTACTCAGGTGTACAGCTATTTTGATCCCATTTTAGTAACGCTATGGGAGAGGTTTTGTTGTATGTGAGGGTAGGCTATGTGAAGTGGATGTCAGGAAGCTGGAGAAAACTATTTATAAATAATTTTTGTTTGATTCCCATGAAGCATTTGTACCTCAGTATATATGACTGCCCTATTTTGAATGTGAAGAGTGAAACCTTACCTTCCTGTTTTATAAATTTTTTTTTTTTTAAGTTCTTGTTGAGTTTTTACTTCCAATTTTTTTCACTGGCAGTTCTGGGTATAACAATCAGGTTGAAAGGTTCACATGATTCAGAGAACACTGTGCTCATATCCTCATTGTCAGGAAAGGGACAAAAGTTAGTCCTACAGTTTGTCTGATTCTTTCCGGGTATTTTAAATTCTAAAGTAATTTGTTTGCTGAAACGTTGGTTAACACCAAATATCCAATGCAGATCCCACCTGAAAGCCATATTTATAGATTAATTTGTGTTCAGCACACCACCAAGCATAAATTAAAGTGACTTAAAATATCTTTTCAGTTTGGACCAGTAGGAAACCTCTGTTATATTTGAATTTAGAATGATAAGAAACAGCATTTCTTACATTTCAGGAGTAAATGTTACAGTTTCTAAAGTATCCTTGGAAATCATGCTAGGTGGATTGTCTGATGTCCGTTGTTTTTATATCTAAAGCATGTTGCTTGTTGCTCTAATCATTGAAAATTCATGCTTCTAATGTTATATTAAGTACCTCTTATTTTTTTAGTATCATCTCTATTAAAGTTAATTAAATATACATTGTAACCAATTACTACTATTTCGTGTTATCTTTGTTTGAATGGTTGAAACTGGCCCATCTAGATAGCTGATATTTTCATATTCTGCTGACTGTCCATGTGAACAGGTACAGTCAGTACTTCTGTGTCTTCAGATTGAAGTATGTGCATTGATCATTTTTCATTAACAATGATAAATTAACACAACTAAATCAGGATGAACTTCATTTAACATTTACAGGTACCATGAAAAACAGAAAACTGAGGATGTGGATATCAGGTGGAACTGCAGACAATAGCGTATGCTGACAGCAAAATACATTGGTAGGCGTTTGTTAATGTAGTTAGGATTTTGAAGAACTGATATTAACAGTTAATGCCGTAAGACTCTGTCCATATTCATTATTTAATTTTTGGGCATCACATTATTTGGGAAGCTATTGAGATGCATCTCTATTGCAACTTAATAAGCAGAAAAGAAGGCTTATGTCTGAGCTAAAAATTTTCTGCCAAAATAATAAGTCAATGTAGCAGCAGTATGGTCAAGGCCAGTGCTTGAATGAATGGCCATCCTTGAACACATGTCAAGTACTGAAATGTTTAGTCCAGTGTGAATGGGCTGCCATATTTACTGTTTACATTGTTGGGATTCTTGGCTTTATTGTGGAGCAGCCACAATTTGTAAAATTTTTGTACTCCTGTGTAAACCATCTGACTGTTAGATTGTGAGTGGATAGGCTGTGGAGGACCTCCCATCAGACATTTGACATGTTTATGGGTCTTCCAGGGAAACAGGAGAAAATTTATGACAGAATATTCTGACTAAGTGTTTTGTGTTTGTTTCTTTTTCTAATGAAATAACATGCTGCCATAACCTTCAAGCAAATGAACTTCAGAAAACTTATTTACAGAATACACCCATATACCCAAGTTTTTCAACCTGTCAAATGTGATGTATTTGTTTATGGTGGTAAGCAGTGTTACATCAAACCAGTATCTTGTTGTGTAGAACAAAGTTTGTACAGTTGAACTTTGGCTGTGCTGGCAGAATTAATATGTGAAATTGAACATTTTAATGTTTGTTATAAACACCTGTATCACACCATTTATTCCTTGTCATCTCAGTATTGGCACCTGTTTCTTGTGTGCACATGAATCACTGTTGGTATATACTACCAGTTTGTTATGCTTACAGGTGGCCATTTGGCCATTTTAATCTCTTGTTATTGTTTCCTTTATTAGAACAGAATGAGCTCTCATGTTTGATTTTTTGTTGCAGCAATGCTGTTCCAGTGAAAGCTGAATGGAACTTTACAGCATGCCCCAGCTAGATAAAACATCACCAGTTTATACAAATACACAGTACGAGGGTGGGGGAGAGGACATCATTAATCGCAGAACATCTACCGGTGATGTTAAGAAGGTGAGGTTCTGTGTTGTGTTATTCAAGCCGCTATTTTGAAATTTTCAGTGATTCAGATTTTTCTCTTTACAGTGTAGTATTGTCACAGTGTTATTAAATTGTCTGATTGTAGATTAGTATTGTGTATTCATGTTGAAATTTCAGTATGGGGCAGTGTCAAGTGATTCATTGCCACTGTTAACAAGTTCTGCATGGAGTGCAGTGATCCATCGTCCAGCTGATGAGGACTCTGAACCAGACGATCTTCCCTCCACGGTGGATATGGATGCTATCAAGGTATGTGATGTGGGTGTGGGTATCTGTTCAGCATTCGTGTATTTGAAAATGTTATGATCAGTCTCATTCATCATTTGCTGTGGTAGTTGATTAATTAAAGTTCTATCAATACCACAATAACAGAGGAGCCAAGAACATTTTTCTAGTAGAGATGTTAGGATTTTCTAATCTAGATTTTCTATTTTCAACATGAAAAAGGCTAACAAATTCTGCAGTAACATTTTGAATATTAAGTTGGTATTAGTGTCACATTATTTGCTTCATAGGTATTTACTGTCTTGCTATCAAGTGCCATGCAATGTGGAACAGTGTAGGTTTCAGGTTATCAGCATTACAGTTGACATCTTGATGTTCAGTTTTCTATGAAGAATATGTGTACTTTATTAACACCGACTAAACTGAGCATGAATGTTTTATTATGACCAGGGTTCTCCAGCAACATCACTGACAGCTCCTAAAACTCCTTTGGCTAGTGTTGATGCTCTGTGGAGTCAAGACAAAGATGAGAGGAAGGAAGAGTTATCAAAGGACCTTGGAGAAGCTGGGGGCAGTGAAAGTGATGAGAGTGATGCAGACGAATCAGACAGTCAAGATTCTGATGGTGACGGTGATTCAGGCGACTCAGAGACTGCTAATGGTTCTGTTAGCGACTCAGAGGTAAGTGTGAACAATCATATTTGTACATGTGCAGAGAGTGAGGTAGTATAATTGCTACATTGTGAATTTTTACCAGATTATTCCTCTCTGTCTCTTCATCTCAGATCTATAATGTTTTCAGAATGACAATACAAGACATTGTGGTTTTGTGTAAGCGAAGAATTTTTTATCGTCTGAAAGCATTTAAACAGATGCAGTTTTGTTGTAGCCAGTGGCATTTCTGGTCTGAAAATCAGGTCAAGCATAAATGCTATATTAAATTCTCCCAATAGTCACACTGAAATGCTGAGGTTTAATAACACTGGCAAAATAATCGTAATTATCATAATGATAATTATGGTATTGATTATAACAATAATAATGAATAATATCCTGCTGTCATATTACATGGTAAAACATTCCTTTTTTATTCCTCCAGTTTTAGTGGTCTGATGGTACGCTTCTATCCAGGCTGGAACTTTTGCCCCTGGTTGACTCCAGCTAATATCCATAATATTTTGACCTCTCTTTGACTGGTCCAAATTTAAGAAAAGCAGCATCTTTTATAGTAATATTTAGAACTGTTTGTATTTACTCTGACCATAAAATAACCAACTTGTTTTCATGGTTGCTGCATTGTTACCCCACTTTTAATTTTTGCATATGGTTTGCAAAGACATTGCTTTACTACTAATTAATGTATACTTGTAACTCATTTCATTTATATTTATTCAGATTAAGGCAAATTTTAAATTTGTTTATGATGTACATAATGCTGTCTTTCAAACATTATTTCTGTGCTACAGTATGAACATGGCTTCAAAATGTGGCCTATTCAGGGGATGTATTGGCGATGCCCAGTGCATGTGTTCCTATAGTCTTTTTATGCTCCTGTGCAACCCCTGTTGTGTTACCTTAACATTATGATTAATTTGAGTTGATGCCATTTGTATGGGACTGTGGTCACACGCGTAAGGCAGATATTTGTCCATGATGTGCCTGTAGCCTTATAACAGGCCATTTACTTTGAATACTCTGGCCTTAGATTTCACAGCAGTTATTAATATAGCATGGTTTTTCACATTGTCATCATACTCTGCTCCTGCTTCATCTCAACTAGTGGATCATTTATTTTTCACGCTTGATGACGGTAGTACGTTATCAGCTTGTTTTCCATAACAAGGTGACAAGGCAGTTGCCTATTACTGACACAGATGGTAAATTCAAATTTGCTTTCCCTGTTTCCCATCTTAAATGTTGTCAGCTTTCATTTGCATATTATAACTCCTCTCATTGTTTCCGCTTTGAGTGAAATTCTTTTCAGAATCAGCCTGGACTGAAATTGATAAAAGCATGTAAAAATAATACTCATTTGGTTATAAGTGTTAAGTAAGTATGATTCTTATGATAACTTAAGCATTTGAGCTGGTTCAGTTGCAATGTGTTATACATTTTTTCGGATTTAGAATATTAATTGAAAATGTTACACGTATAAAATACAGTATAAACAAATCAACTTAATTATTTATAGCAAATGTTTGACATTTTAGAGGTAGTGTGAACTAGAACCTTTTTTACTATTTTTACATTTGTTAAATTTGAATATTTTGTTGTTTGCCTGTGGGTATAGGAAAGGGGTTTTAGTCCAGAAGAGCCATATAATTTATTTGCTGTGTTTCATTGTTAACAGATATGAAAATGTAAGCTTAAAACGGCTTGTAAGTGATTTAAATTGTTTAGTGGTGCTGTATTTATGTACATTCTGTTCAGTGGAAGAATTAATTCTACAAGTGTGTGGAGTTTCTTTTGTATTATCATAAACATATATTACATTGTATATGAATATATGATGTGTTCAGTAGTTTCTTATTACCCAGTATTTTGTTTCAAGATGTACTGCATAAAAATTGTATTATGGTACTTTTCTTTTATCATCGTAGGTACCAGAAGGTGTATACCAACAAGTCATTGACTTAAGATCAGTTCATTGGATTTGTAATCTAATAATGATATAACAATTGTTGTTTTTGTTGGTATTGGTCTTCTGGGTTTTAATGCTTTGTGAACTTGTAGTTAGATGCCAACATTTTGGATGAATGTTGATATCTACCTACAAGTTTGTATGATATTACTACCCACAAGACCAACATAACATCTTCATGACCGTCAGAGTCACAGATCTTGTACAAATTTTTGTTTTGTTTTATGACAACCTCACATTTTTATTAATAATTTTGTGTTAGGATAGGTGTGTTATTTGATAGACACTCAGCTGTAATTGGACTATACTGTTTTCTCTTGGGCTTTAATTATTTCCAGGTTAATTTTTCAGGACTCATTGTGAAAAGCATTTTTACTGTTTGTGACATACCCATCCCAAAATTAAAGATTGTAGGTCATAGGGAATACTCATTTTTAAAGATGTGTTGGTACATATTACAAAGCTCTATTATAGAACAGGAAGAATGTAGCTGAAAATATATTGAATAAGTAGTTACAGATATCTGACGAGATGTTATCCTCCAGCATGGAGGTTAGGCACAGGAGCTGCTACTCCCCGTTACAGAAACCGACATGTTATAGTACATACTGGGACTCATTCTCATTGAATTAGGAAGGTCAAAGAAAATCAGAAGGGTTTAGGATTGAATGGGATTCATTTGTTTTTGGTTTATGCTGGCGAATTTAATTTATTGTATGGAAACAAATGTCGTACAACATAGAAACTCTTACATGCTAGAAGGAAACTGCAAAATTTAAGTCTTATCACACGCAATGCAAAATTATAATACAAAGATTTTTCATGCACTGTTAAAAAGTGCCAATATTAAAATATTTGGAAATGACGTGCAAAATTATAATAAAAAGATTGTTCATGCACTGTTAAAAATTGCCAATATTAAAATATTTGGAAATGACGAAAACTGTTCAAAATTGTGCTCAAAAATAAATTAATGGATTAAATGGGAAATATGCTTGCTACCATTCAGTTCAGAATCATTTTCTTCTTGACTAATATTAAAGAAAAATAAAACTTTAATGTTACCTGTTATTTTGAATGGATATGAAACCTAGTCTTTCACCCTAATTGAAGAATTAAGATTAATACTGAGAGAGCTGAAAATGTGTGCACAATTTTAGTTGGAAATCCACTCCTCATGGGAGATCTGGACAGGATGGGGAAATCATATTTTAACACATTTACTTCCAAAATTGGAGAGGCTTTAATACTGTTATTGCCATTAAACTCTGATTTAGGGCTTCAAGTCGTGGCATTTAAAGTAAGGCTTGAAATTAAATACTGGCATTCA